CACTGTGTAATTAGTGGTAGTTCAAAATTATTCACTACTTTTATTTACGTTTAGTGATGAATTGAAAAATATAAGCCTCACTCAGTAATAGTGATATTTAAAATTTTTAACTAAAAATATTTTAAAAATAGTTAAAATATTTGTTTTTACATCCTAGTGAAATAATTTTTTCCACACTAAATTATTAGTTCAAAAAAAATTTCCTGCACTATTTTTTTCAACAGAGAAATGTTTCGCTCATTGGAAAGTTTAAGTTAATAGGTCAGTCTAGAAATGGTTTAAGTCAACCAAAAACTCATTGGACGAATATTATTAATGAATAAAACGTTCATTATTTACAAAGTTTCCAAGCTATTGCCTAAAAAACATTCAGTAACCACATCATTTTGGCAACTGGCAACGCAGCTGAAGTGGCAATCGAGATACATAATTGACCTATTAATTTAATTCTTCGAGGAGAGTCCACCATTCCGCTAAAGAAAAAAATCATTATACTTAAGCAAAAGAAGGCAAAAGTTTTGGAATTTACGTGTTTCAACCATTTCTTTTTAAAGCATGAGATGTTGTTGGGATAACTGCATATGTAGGGTTCATCAAAATCTGTATTTTCCATTTTAATAGATGTATCTTTTAAAAAATTGAACCATTTATTGTCTTACAAATTCTATAATTCTCATAAAAAATACTGCAAAGAAAATTATTGAAGCCTTTTGTTAGTGACTGTTCAAATTTTTAACTATTTGAGTGTAGTGCTTTTTTCTACACTACCACTCAATTGAGTTATAGTTAAAAAAGTAACATTATCACTAAAAATATAAGCTTCACTACCACTACGCTCCTGAAAATTAGTGAAAAATATATTTTTTGAAATAATATTTAGTGCTAGTTAATAATAATAATAATGCACTAATAATTTAGTGCACTACACCCATCTCTGCTAAAAAGGAGCTTGCTGGTGGATGGCATTTAAGATTCGGCATAGCCGAATATAGCACTCTAACTTGTTATTCATTAGCTTTTATACGTCCACACTAAAGTTTTGGCTGAATTTAGACACCACTTATTAAATCCGAAGAAATAAAGGTTAAAAGATCAAATGTCGTTAGATATACAAAAAAGATACCCAAATAATTTTACATATTAAAATAATCCACATCTTCCTCTAATTAAAAAATTTCGGAATTTGTTAATGGAAAATTTTATATGAACAATGCCTATAAAAGATTTGCAAAAGTCTGCCTTTCGAGACAGTCTAATGTGTGAAGATATCTAATCATATAGTAGCATATAGGCGAAAGGGATTGTCAAAGACCTAAGTCCCCTGTCAAAAACCTAACTGGTGAGAATGTATTAAACTCAGTTGTTTAAAAAGTACTAAATAATAAATGTATTTTTGATACGTTATTTTTTGTGTGTTATTAGTGGGATTTCATCTACCAGTGTTTATTTTTGTGCTTCTACTAATATATTCTCACCAGTTAGGTTTTTGACAGGGGACTTAGGTCTTTGACAATCACTTTCGCCTATATGCTACTATATGCCCTTCAGTTTCTCCAATATACCTACTATATGTATCTAACCAAAGAATATATATCTAACCATGAAGATATGTATTTATCTTCATGTTTTTTTTTAGATTTGAGCTGCATTTAAAAAATGGCAATCGAATTTAAATCAAGATAATTTTTTGATGATATATTTAATTGATCATAGATTTTTATTGTTATCTCGATTTAACAATTAATTTAAATTTTATATGTTTGATATAAAACTCGATTTGTATGGAAAATATGAGTGATTACGAATCTTTATTGTTTTCTCGAATTGAGAGTTATTTAAAGTAAATTTTTAAAGAGTTATATAACTAAAAATTTTAGGGGGAGATATGAATGATTTTTTATATAGATTTAAATGCTATATAAGGACCACAGCCGATTTAAAATTCGAATTTTTGTGAAAATGTAATATTAATACCTGTGTATATTGTTTACCCTATTTTAGGAGCGTAGATTCAGTAGACATTCATTCAAGATCTAATATAGCTTATAGTTTTCTCGATCGTAGGAAACTACATCCGATTCTGTTTTAAAATAGTGGTATATTTGTATTTATTCGGATTTGATGTATTAAACATTCTCTTCGGTAAACTAACCCAACCTTCCACGATAAAACTATTATCATGTAAAATTTCATGAAGCATAAAGTCTAGATCAAAAAGTTGATTCCAAAAATACACTGTATGTTGCCAAATTTTTTGAAAATAGGTTCATGTTTTATTTTACCCACCATCAAAAAATATGAGGGGTATATTGATTTTGTCCGTTTGTAACATATCGAAATATTCGTCATAGACCCACAAAAGTATATATGTATATTCTGGGTCCTTATTAAATTCTAAGACGATCTATACATGTCCGTCCGTCCGTCTGTTGAAAACACGATAGAGTCCGAACGGAATGAGCCAGAAGTATTCTCTATAGGTAAGGTTTGTTTGGTATTGAAAATGGGCGTTTTCGGATATCCCCCATACAAGTGGACCCCCGAAAAAGACCCTTAACGGGCATATATGTTTTAAATGTGTAAATATAGCGATTAAATTCAGCATAAATAAGTTTTATATGAGCCAAAAACTTCCTGCCAAATTTTACAAGGATCGGTCCATAATTGACCCTACCCCCCATATAAGGCCCCTTCACAAAATGACTTTAACGCTCATTACTCGCTCAAAAATACGACTATACGAAGAAATTTGACATAAGTAAGTATATAATTTACCTATAATTTACCCTTCAGAAAATTAGTTTACCGCTCAATACTGGCTTAAAAATACGAGTACAGCGATGAAATTTGACATAGCAAATCTCCAAAACCAAAATATCTCCACCGATTTTTATGTGGATCGGTCCATAAAGGTCCCTTCAGAAAATTACTCTAACGCTCATTACTGGCTTAAAAGTACGAGTATTGAGATAAAATTCGACATAAGAAGGTTTCTTGTGAGCCAAAACCTCTCTACTGACTTTTGTGGGAATCGGCGTGTGATTGATCCCCATATAAGCTCCCCTTCAGAAAATGACATTAAAGTTCATTATTGGCTTAAAAATACGAGTAAAGCGATGAGATCTCTCTACCAAATTTGGTGCGGATCTGTCCACAATTGACCCCCCCCACATAAGGTCCCCTTCAGAAAATTACTTTTACGATCATTTCTCGCTTAAAATACGTGTACATTTATGAAATTCGATATAAGAAACGTTTATAGAAACTTAAATCTTCCTACCGAATTTCATGCGGAAAGTGTCGGTAACTTACCCTAAAATGCGAGTACAGCTATTCGATGTAAACATGTTTATATTAACCAAAATCGGTCTAAAAAATTTTATGAAAAACGATCAGTTAATTTGATGAGTGATCATGATGGCATACGGTTTGATGGTGGGTATATGAGATTCGGCACAGCCGAATATAACACTTCTACTTGTTATATATATATAGCCTAGAAATTTGGCGTTATAGCTGTTATACTAAAAGTGAACCTAAAAATGTGCGTAGTGAAAAAGTAAAAAAGAGTCTCATAATATTTATTATTATATATTTATTATACGCTCTGAGGATGTAATGTTACGTACTTTTCATTCCACAACATTCATTATAACAGATTTCATGAAAATCGTTTTTTTATGCCTGAACGTAAATTTGGTATAATAATTGTTTTACAAAAAGTTGCCGTAAAAAGGGGTGTAGCGTCCGATCCAGATCCTGAGGTCAGACCTATCAGTATACCAAATTTCATGTAAATCGGTTCAGTAGTTTTCTGTAAGTCTCGAATGAAAATTTTGTATAACAAATATGTAGAAAAAAGTGACCATAAGAAGAATCCTGACTCAAAGTTTTCAATATTTATTCTAAACAAATTTGAATTTTTTTAATACAAAATCGGATTTTTTTGATATAAACAAGTGTCATTATTTGACATTTATCTGGTGAAAAGGCAATGATACGAACTGCAGTTTATCCCCCTCCAAACATGTAGATTATACTATTAAAAATTCATATAAATGGTTAGAAACTCGATTTGCCGCGGAAGTGTTTTGCACAAAAACAATCCAGAAATGACGCTAAAAGCATTCCACAATCCATTCCACGACGCGAATCTACCGTATGAACTACCCATGCTCTAAAAGCAGTTTTACTATCGACATAGATTGTCACAATCGACTCTAGATCGATGTGATTCCGTATCACTTCCGTCTCTTTCCAGATCGATAGGATCTCTGCTTGGAAGGTATTACATTCGTCAGGGAATCTGAAGGACCTTTTTATATCGGCATCAGCGATATAGACACCGGCATCCGTGCCGATATCCATCATGGACCGTCGGTAAAAACTGCACACAGTATATCCCCTATAGTCTATAGCTATAACTCTATATTTTTAAGTCCACAAGTGAAGTTACCACGGTCAAGTACAGAGTTTTTGTGTGATGGTCGCGCGAGGACTTGACTAACGAAGACTTATAGAGTCTTAGTAGATTCCTATCCGTCACACACCCTACAAAGAGTGACAGATAAAGAATGATGTACAAGGCCGCTTGTGGAGTACTACTAATGTAATCTTTGAGCTTAATTGATCATCTTTCGACAACAGTCCTTTTTCCAAGCCTCCCATCAGACAATACTAAATGGTATATCCCAGGATTAGAGCGCAGTCCTTTAGTTTTCGCCCATAGTATAACAACCAAGATTTTGACTACAAAATACTACACTGAAAATAATAATAATAACAAAGAAGAATATCTTTTTTCGTACATATATGTATATTTATTAAGAAACTCTCTGAGTCGATTTAACGATGTCTGTCCGTCCGACTTTTTAAGATAATAGGAAAATTTAAATTATGCTCACGATATAAAGAATTTTGAAAAAAAAGCTCAATAAATTTTCCTTAAAATAAATAAGTCATGATTTAAATTCAAATGATAAAATTTTATTAATTTTTAGGTAGCAGCTCGATTTTGCGAAGGTGGTCATATATGTTCCTTACCCAGGGAGTGTTGTACACAAGGATGCTGCCCACCTTACCAAAGTGGACCACGTCAGTTGCCACCTCCATCTGAACATGTGCTAAATCTTTTTTTTATAAGTCATTGGTTTTTTTGGTAAGTCTTAAAACTATACAGAGTATGATTTTAAAATGAAAAACACTGTACAAAGTAAAGGCAACAGACACAGACCCTGAATGGAAGTAAATACACAATATCGCTCATTTAATAGTCTGGCCTAATCCAATAAAAGACGTTTTGAGAAAAAACGGCTTTAAATGTTTTAAAATACCTTACTAAACATTTGGAGAAATAACTTATAAAGTAATTATCGGATTTTAAATATAAAGCCAGATAATTAAGGTATAGATTAATGTGTTTATAATCTGGCTTTAAACTAATTTTTTACTATCAAAAATTTAACAATCCAATATGTTTATGGACTCACTGCACTTTCAAAGTGAATGGTTCAATACGTAACAAATCTAAGTTTTGTGTAAGACCAAAAAATAAGATCATAATTTTTAAGTTAATTAAGATAAGTTAAAATTATGGCTCAAAGAAGAATTTTACAAAAATAAATAAAAAATCCCTAATGAATATACATACATATTTGTCGTACTCCGTTTAAGATTTTTAGATTGACGATACTATGAAAATGTCAAATATTATTGGCCCCATACAAAGCGTAACTATAACATGTATGTTATTATTTACATATGTATGTATATACGGGCCTATCGCAGCATTCCATTCCGATCAAAAGTGGAATTATTTTTAGTAAATATCTTGCTGAAAACTTAAAAACAATAATTACAAACGAATTTCAATTCCACTTTAAACACTTAAAGTTGTTTCATTCCGAAAATTGTCGTTTTACTTTTTGTGAAAAAGAAATGTACTGAAATAATTCCACTATCCATCGGAATGGAATTCTGTGACAGGCATCTATTTAATTAGTTTAAATCTAAACGAGGCCTAATGCTTCCTAAATTAAAGATACAAATATAATGTATGTGTCTGCCACATAATATTTGTATATTTAATAATTAAATAGGGTTATATCTTTAGAATACACTGTAATAACATTGACTGACAATCATTGCTGCACCATAGTCCCTTGGGGCACCTAAATACATGATATACAGTATATGTACATCATATGTTGCAAAATGTACATATCAATTTTATGGCAGTGGAACGTTAATATTTTGAATTTAGTTGTGTTTATAATTCAGCCAAGACTAGACCATCTGAACTTGAACTTGAGTATTTAGTTTTTATTATACCAAAGAAATGGGATTTTTAGTTAAACATCTTAAGTTTGCCAGAGAACAGTACGCAATTTAATTACATAGTACTTTAGTCCATTTAACAGACATATAAATTGTAAACTTTTTGTTTTTTATTACATTGTTGTAGGTGTGTTGTGGTAGCAATTATTTTAGCAATCCTATGTGCCTATTCGCTGTGGAAAAAGAGACGCACGCTTTGTGGCTGGGGTTTCAACGAACATCATGTGCAATCGGAAGGCGATTCGGCTGGTTCGTGCTATGCTCCACCACAATATAGTCGTTGTAATTCGTTTCATCATCCACCGCCTCCCTATACGGAGGTAAGTTAAGAAGCATACTACTAAAGATGTTGGAAAGGTTATTATTAATAATTTCATGTTTTAGGTTACATCGAAACCGGACTTATACCCACTGGTGTTCACATGCAATAGTGATAATGGTAAAAACGGTTCCAGTTACCTAATGGTGCAATATTTTCGTAATTATATAGTGCGTCCAGCTGGCTCTTTGTCAGCAGCTAGTACGGTAGATTCACTTAGTTCTAGTTTTATATGCAACATCAACGAAGCAAATACTCTGGTACCACCGCCGTATTCAAGGGCGGCTAGCCCTGAAATAGGTTTCAGTCCACACTTTCAGCAGCAGTATATGATGCCCCGTTCGGCATCTCAGCTGGTGTGCCCAAATGTGGGGAATGGTGGCGTATTGATGGCTAGTGGCACAAGCGGGAATGTTAACAGCCAGTTTGAAATGAATAGCAGTAGCTCAAATGCTAATCCGCAATACAATTACAATAATGGACGAAATAATAGTCATTATGGTCCAGTCAGTAGTCAAATTAATGCCACAGCTATTGGTCGGCTCAATGGTGTGGGAAGTACAGGCAATGAAAGAATGTCCCATTATAATGGTAATATTAGGGAATTTGAAAACGACGTGACCTACGATAATGGAGGCAGCGGGATTACTAGTGTAGGTGATACGGAAGAGCGCACAAACGGCGATCGTAACGATGGAAATGTGATAAACAATAGTAATAGTAGCACTGATTTACGTACGCTACCCAATAGTAGTGGTTTCGTACAGTCCCAAAGTGATCAACAGTTCTGTTATATAACGAACAGCAACAGCAGTATTAGTGATATTTTTGCAAACAATAGTTGTGCAGCGGGAATTGGAGGAAATACAAGCAATAGACTGCAGCCACGCTCGGAAGATTCTTCTCTAGTCGGTTCAATTTCTGGTGCAGGTGCCGTCGTTCATCCTCAACTTGGTGGCACGCCAGTAATTTACAGCAACGGCTGCATCAAACCGAATCCCCTACATCGTGTTAGCACTAATCCTACGCATTTTCACGTAGATTCATCGACTAGAGAGCCAGTTTTCTACCAGTCGAACAATTCTTTAGGAGGTATATCCGTAACAGTTCCTAACGGTATCGAATTTGATTCAACCATGGTTCGCAATGACAACGAAATTCGGGATTTGCAATTCTTACGGCGCAGTTTAGAAACTTGCTGTCAGCTATTGCAGCAACAACAAAAGGTGCCTTCGGGGAGCTTTGCGGTAGGAGATTCGCCATTACGTATGAACGATCTGAGCAAGAAATACATTGATGATGGGCTCTTGCGTAGTTATGTAACTTCGGGTACCTGTTCAGGCGTTAGCAGTTTGGCAAATGTGGGAACACCAAGTTCACCACCACAGGCCACAAGTCCTACCGGAGAGGTTAAGGAAATACTCGACCAGATTCGCCAGCTGCAAGAAGGTGTCAGCAAATACGAAGAAGATTTAGTTTTTCGAACATCGTCGACTAGACCTATGCTGCACCATACTATGTCTTCACCATCGCCTGCAGTTAATAAATGTACTTCGCCCGCCTCGGAATCGGGAGGGAAACTTCAACGTATAGCCACCATGCCTGAACAGCAAACATTAGTCGAAGCTTCAAAAACCAACCGCACTGCAAATTCTACTATTAACAATTCTCTCGCAAACTCTGTACAATCGATTCCATCGGCAACGTCGTCAGTAATTGTTGCTGCCAAAATGACAAATAGCAAATCATCTATTAATAGCAACAGCGCTGGAAATAGCACGGGCTTCACGTTTACATCTTCCTCGAAACGACCCTCTACATTACAACACAGCAAAAAACGCTTTTACACTTCCAAGCCACCCAACAAAGCTCTCTACATTCCTATGACGGCCACGAATTGTTTGTCGTCAGGTAGCCGTTGCACTATTCTCAAGAGTCCTGTAACTAGTGTTGTGAATTCAAATTTCTTTATTAATCGTGGCAACCGCCCAAGAAAAGGTTGGATATCAAGATCAGCGCCCACAACTCCAGCTACTCCATTACCTCCTAGCTATTTGGGCGATGACAGTCCGTTACTGAATGAACATGATGAAGATCCAGAGGGTGAACAAAATGCCGAAATGGATAATTAGGCAAAAACCTAAATATTTTTATAGTTTGCACACCTTTTCCATATACAAGTACGCACAAAACTAAAATGGCCATCGATGTGCAAATGCATACAATCTTAGATTCCAAAATTGTGGTTATAAAAATACAATAAGCTTGAAAAGAAAATTCTATAATATGTTTAGTTAATAAAGTTGAGATTTTTTTTCATTTTTTAATTATTTTTGGAGAACTTCGGATCATAATACTTCGCATCATTCAGCACTTGGCCTGATAATAGAAAAGTTTTTGGGGATTGCAAAATAAATAATAATGGTCTTGCTTAGTTGTTGCTTAATTAAGCCTTTTTTTATAAAATTTATTTTGTTATTTAGCGGAAATTATTTAATACAAATACGTGTTATTAAGGTTAAAGTGCGAAAAAACAAATCTGAAATAAAAATCTGATCCCAATTATTCTGTAAATCTCTTTTTGTGTTCATAACAAATATTTTACAAAGATCGCGAGAATACATACATACATACATACATACATAAGTATATTCATTCATGCATATGTATAATAAAAAAATTATAGTTCAACGTCCATTGCATATATGCTAAAGTATATATACTAAATACTTTTCTAAAGATTGAGCTGCGTTTAATCGAATCAAGACACGGCAATACTGATTCCCGGACACTTCTTAAAAGAAATCCAAAATTTAATATACACCAAATTTAGGAGATACTCTTTCCGGGATAAGACTCTCTTAAATTCTAAATAAATTTTCCAATACATTTCTGTTTTAAAAGTATCACAATGTCCATGGACTTTACGACACTTTTGAATGTGTCATAACGTCCATGGACATTATGA